ACCCATTTATCTTCCTCCATGGGCCAAAAGCAGTTTGGAGAGGGGATGATCTGGAGGTGGAAAATTGGTGACAAAGAGAAGGTTAAGCTTCTCCTCTTTAATTGATTATCCAGAGGCATGCCCATCACAGCAAGCACTGTCTTAAAGGAGGTTTTCCCTGCTGTGTCAGTCAGACTTCAGTAGCAGAGAGGGCCAGAATACAGTTAAGGTCCAAAGGCCCAGTATTGGATCATATAAAGCTTTAAGGGACAAAGCCAACACCCTGAAATGGGCTCAGGAGCAGATTGGTAGCCAGTGTAATTGCTGTAGTACTGGGACCATATGCTCTTGGTATTTGGCTCTGAGTAGCAGTCCAGCCACAGCATTCTGCAGTAGCTGCACATTCTGACCAGTTTTCAAGGATAGCTCCAAGTAAAGCACTTTGAAATAGTCCAGTCTTGATGTAACTAAGGTATGGATCACTGTGGATAGACCTGACTGGCTCAGGAACAGATGCAGTTGATGCACCAGCTGCAATTGAGCAAATGCACTCTGAGCCACAGCAGTCATCTGGTTTGTAAGGTTACTGCCGTGTCAAGCAGCACTCCCAAACTGTGAACCTAGATTTTCAAGGGGAGTATAACCCCATCCAAGACAGGGCAGATCTAAAGTCCCTGATCTGCCTTTCTACTAACCCAGAGAACCTCTGTCTTGTCAGGATTAAATTTCAACTTGCTCACCCTCCTCCAGCCCATTATTGACTCTAAGCACAAGTTCAGAACATAAAAAGCATCCTCAGAATTAGGTGGAAAAGAAAGGTAGAGCTGGGTATCATTGCAGCCCATACCTCCTGATGACCTCTCCCAGTGGCTTCATATAGATATTAAATGGCATGGCAGATAAGATGGAACTCTGCAGCACCCCACATGGGGCAGAGCCAGAGCAGGAATTCCCCAACACCACCTTCTGAGAGCGACTCCTCAGATAGGACTTCAACCACCGTAGTATGGTGCCCCTTAGTCCAAGTGCTGAGAGGCCTCTCAGTAGGATACTATGGTTGATAATATCAAAGGCTGCTGAGAGATCCAGCAGAGCTGTCTAGTTATTGATAGAGGTCATGAACTGAGGCAACCAAAGCAGTCTCTGTTCCAAATCCTGGCCTGAAGCCACGTTGAAATGGTTCCAGAAAATTATTCTTTTCCAAGAGATGAGAGGCGACAACCCACTATTGCACCTTGTCCCAGAGCGGAAAATTGAAGACTGGCCAGAACCTTTCTGATGTAGTGGGGTTCAAGGACATTCAAAACAGGTCTAATCACTGCCTCCTTGAGCATGGGCAGGACAACTGCTCTCAAGGAAGCATTTACCACTTCCCTCAACCCACTCAGCCAGTCCCTCTCTGGCAGCTTTCATCAGCCAGAAAAGGCAAAGGTTTGAGAACACAGGTGGTAGAGGTCTCACTTGCCCAGGGATCTTGTCCACATCCTCAGAATCCACAAGCTGAAAAGTATCCGTATAAATTGGACAAGCAGATGCTAAAGAATGGTAAGACGGAGAATTAGGTATTGAAAAACGCTCTGAAAATACAATAGCTGATGTTTTGGATATAATCTCAATGCACTGTTCTGATCCTCTGAATGTAAAATATGTTATTAGAATCATCTGCTAGTTCAGGGACCAAGAGTGAAGAAGACATCCCAAAAATGGTTGTCCTAGTTGTTTTTTTTTAATGCCATGTATTAATTGCAGGGGTGTATGGAATCTTGGAAGCTAAGCAGGGTCAGTAATTGGTTGGGAGACCACCAAGGAAGACTTTGCAGAGGAAGGCAATGGACAAACCACCTCTGCTTAATCACTTGCCTTGAAAACGCTGTGAGGTAGCCATAAGTTGGCTGCAACTTGACGGCACTTTACACACACACACACACACACACACACACACACACACACACACGCTGATAGCAGGGCAAAATGACATTAGCAGTGCATTCATCTTATTGCCCTGAGCTCCAGATTTTATGCTAGGACAGTTTCTCTACTAGCCTCTCTGTTTACAGTTGAGGAGCCTATAGCTAGGACGTGGCTATGCAGAGATTTGCATGAGTTACAATTGAGTGATCCAAGGAAACCCTTCTGCACACTGGAATGACAACAGCAAGAGTTGGGAGGAGCAATATCCCTTTCACAGGACTCCTAGGGCTCCAAGTTGCCTTGTGATAGATCTTCTGGAGACTGTGGAGGAGGAGGATGGTGGAACAAATTGTTGAAGGCGATCTGTGCAGGACATGAAAGCAATCTAAGTTTAGGGACTGTGGCTTTTTTTGCAGTTTCCCTGTTCAGTTGCTCATGTCTCAAGCTGATTTTTAAATTTTACTATAAGCTCTTGCTCCCTTCTTATTGCAGAAAAGGTGGCCGAGACATGGGTAATATTATGCCTCCTGCCAACCCAGATATATGCTGTAATGAAATCTAACAAGTACCCAATCCCACTGTAAGAGTGATTTATTATGTAGTAATTAGTATTCATAAGAACATGACTGCTTTCAAATTTCAGTGAATGCTATTATTGATACAGTGTTATCAATGTATAGGGCATTGTACAGGCAAAACAGACTTGTCTCTGCTATCAAGAACTATGCAGTGTAAAGGAGAGAATGGGGTAATGGGGGAGGGAGGGAGAAATAAGAACCACAAGTAATGAATATAGGAACATACAGTTACATGTGTTTAAAATTTGGTTAGAGGTGACAGGATTAAGAGACTAAATTAGAAGTCTTACAGAAAAGCTTTTGAAGCAGGCTTTGATAGAAAGAGGTAGCAACCTGCACTTGTTCAGGGTGGGAAAAGCAAAGGAGAAATGGCAGATTCATGACACAGAGCAAGAGGTATTGAGAAATTGTGGTCCACTCGATGGAAAACTTAAATCTGAGGTTGTACTAGCTATACTAAGCCAATAAGGCATATGTGCTACATGCTGTCAAGTCACTTCTGATTTATGGCAACCCTATGAATTAATAACCTCTGAAACTTCCTATCATCAGCTGCCTTGCTCAGATCTTGCAAAATGGGGGCCATGGCTTCCTTTATTGGGACAGTTTTTGCATCTTTGTCTCTTCCTATTGAGTTCAACTTTTCCTAACATTGTTTTTTCCAGTGAATCTTGTCTCTCCATGATGTGACAAAAGTACAATAGTCTCAGTTTAGTCATTTTAGCTTCTAGGGAGAATTCAAGCTTGATTTGATCTGGAATCCACTAATTTGTCTTTTAAGTGGTTCAGGGTATCCATAAAACTCTCCTCTAACACCACATTTGAAATGAGTCAATTTTCTTCCTGTCAGCTTTTTTCACTGTCCAAGTTTTACATCCATACATAATCATGAATAATACAATAATATTAATTATCTTGATCTTTGTCTCCAGTGAACCCTTCCTTATACTAAAGGATTTTTTCTAGTTCCTTCATGGCTTCCCTTCCAGTCTCAATCTCCTTCTGATTTCTTGGTTGCAGTCTCCCTTTTGGTTGATGATTGAGCCAAGGAATAGAAAATCTTTAACAGCTTTTTCACTGTCACCCTTAAACTGTGTAATTCGTCCAGAGCCATAACTTACAAAGAAATGTATGTTCAGTGAAATATGTTCTCTACTAGAGGTAAATTGTGTTGCATTGTATATCACAGACTCTGTGTTGTGTATTTAGATGTATAACCAGTTCTGTCCTTCAAGGCAAAAAGTAGGGAACAATATTTACATAAATCAAAACATAACACAGTTGAATGAGAAAATATTGTTAATATAAGTGAAAGGAGTGAAGCCTGCAGTTGGAAAGCCTGCAGTTGTGTCAGTTCCCATAAATAAAACTAGGGATTAATAGGGTATCAAATTCTATCTTTTTATGGATGCAGCACTTGATTTTGAACCATTTTCCATATTGTTTCTACGGGGCCTCTGGGAAGAGAATTGGAATATTATTCTTTTTTATGATTTAAGCCAGGGGTCGTTTCGTAGAAAAAGAGCTAGGGAAACTCATTAGCATAACTCATTAGCATATGCCACACCCCCTGACATCACCGGAAGTGTGTCATAAGGCCACACGCCCCGCCCCTAATGGTCCCGGCCGCCGCCGCCAGCCTTCCAGCTCCACTGCCAAGCCCCATGAGGGGCCTGGCGGTGGACCTGCAAGGCCGGCGGGAGTGCAAGGAAGCCCCGCAAAGGCCCTCCATGGCCCCAGGCAGGCAGGGGTGGGGAGAGGCAGGGAGGAAGCAACTTACCCTCCCTCTTCTCCTGCCTCCTCCTGGCTGAATGAGGGCCGGAAGCGGGGCGGCCGGAAGCATGTGCCCCGCCCCCGTACCTCACCCGGGGGAACTGCGATCCCCCGCGTCCCCCCCCCCCGAAATGACCTCTGATTTAAGCTCATATCCTGTTTTTCAATCAAAAGATTCCTACAGCAGCTTACAATAACAGAAAGAATACAAGGAGACACACAATACATTAAAATACAGAACTATACATTAAAAATCAACAAGCCTTCAGAGCCATAAAAAACTGCAGTTTCTTGGAAATATTAAGTGAACAGGCCTGCTTAATATCAAAGGGGCTATAGCTGAAAAGCACTCCCCCATTATATGACTGTCTTACATTTGATAGTTGTGTGGCACCGGTTGCACATGTGGCAGTTTTTCTCTATTACTGGGTGGGGGGAGTATGTTGGTTGTCGCAAACGATCTTTTTGGCATCTTCAAAAATCTTTTTAAAATTCGAGCACAAGCTTTTCTCTTTATATGTGGCAATGATCTTTTAGGCAACTGTGTCAGAAGGGAGCATTTCTTGTATTTTGAATTCTTTTCTACCTGCTTATCCGAATTGATTATGATCAAATATACATTTCAATCTTCAAGTAGGGATGTTAACTTCTTTTTAATAAATGAGGGGAGCTTGTTCATGTACGTGTGCGTACATACATACATGTACACACACGTTATACGTTAAGGTGCGTCTCTCTGTTCCGTCGTGCGCTTGAGAGGCGTACAAGCCCCGTCAGGCGTACAAGCCCCGTCCACTTGCTTCCCACGTGCATTCTCCTCTCCCGGTCCCCGCTGACAGCTTGTGTTCATCGTCCCACTGGTCGAGTTTTCCCATTTTGGACGGAGGGGCTTGTCGAATCTCTCCCGTGCTCAGCCACCACTGCCCCCCCTGACGTCACCTTTCCGGCCTCCCCATCGCTTTCACGCGCAGGTAGAGAAGGGCACGGACTCCGCCCCCTCCACCTATTGGCTGCTGCGACGAATTCACGCGCGCCTCTAAACGGGCAGGCCTCCGCGGGCTCCTTTTGGGGTGTCGAAGAGCGCGCGCGCAGGCGCAGAGCGTAAAAATGCTGTAGAACCCTCGTCGGAGCCACCAACGCCTGGGGCGTCAAGTGGGTGGGCCACCATGCTAATAAGTCGCTCACCCTTCACCGCACGTGCCGAATCTGCGTTAAGGGGACCGTCTCGGGTAGTTTCTGACGGTCACGGTATTAAACTGGATCGACCGGACCCGCCTTTGGGAAGATTTAGCCAATCACAGGGCGTAGAATGAGTGGGTGGCCAAGCTGGGCTTATGAATAGTAATTAGTTTGGGGCCCTGGAAGGAGCCACGATCTGAAGGGAGGCGCATGCGCAATTGATAGTATCGAGTGGCGGTGACTTTTCTCTCTCTTTTTTTTTTGGTGGGAGCCCTTTAGGTGGCCTCGCCTGTCGCCTCGGCTTACCCTCCTCTCGCCTCAGGGGGAGTCTCGGTGTCTGCTGGGCCCCCACCGGCCGGGTACAGCATGTCCAGCCGCGCCGCGCACCCCCAGGAGGCAGCGGCCGGGACTGCGGGAGCTGCTCCGCGCGAGCGGGGCCTGGCGGGCGCTTTCCCGTTGGTGCTGAAGAAGCTGATGGAGAATCCGCCGAGGGACGCGCGCCTCGGTGAGGGCGGCGGGAGCACTGCTGTCTTGGGCCGTCGCCGCGGGGTGAACGCGCGTGCTGGGTGGGTGGGTGGGCGCACAAGCCAGCGAGAGGGGACGGGCTGGGCTGGGCTGGCGCTCCCCAGCGGGGTAGGTCGCTGCCCCAGATGGCCCCGCGTCCCTGCCCCTTGGGAGAGAGGAAGGAGAAGCGGTGTGGGGCTAGGCGCCTCCTCTGTGCCTGAGACGCTAGTAGGGGCTTTGTTTGTCTCCTTCGGTTCGTAATTCGCTCTGCCTCAGGGGCAGGAAAACAGGGCGTCCTCTAACGCCAGGGACCGATTCGATCTAAGTTTCCAGATGGTGCAGCTGTCAAATCACACACGGGGAAGCCACGCGCGCGCGCACACACTCACTCGGATTCGGAGAAAAAGCCCCCTTCCCCCCCCCCCGCACCTCCCTTGCGGTTGGGGATGCATTGGGGGCGCCATTTCAGTATTTGATGGCGGGGAGGGGAGCGAGCTTCCAAGTAGGAGAGGCCGGGTTCAAAGGCCTGCTTTTGCATATAGTGCAAATTAACCTGCAAAAAAAGAAAAGAGGTTCGGCTACCTCATAATAAACCAGAGGTAGAGCTCCCCTAAGGAATGTGGTCTGAAACGGCTATTCCTGAAAACACATGTATTTCCCCATCCACCTTACCACCTTACAAGACATGTGAAGACACATTCCCACTGACAATTTCCAGTGGAAATGGTGATTTCACTCAGTAATTTACCAACCTGTGTGCACTGCCCTGCAGTTTACCTGATTCTTCGACTACTCTTGCTGAATCAGGATGAATGCTTTGTCTTGTATTCAGTTCTTCCTGGTCTCTGTGCACTACAAAATACGGAGCTAAAATGTGCATAGAACTATAGATTTGACACTCAAAGTTACTGTTGGCTTAGAAAGAAAATATGGGGGTGTTAATTGGTGGAAGAATTTAGAGCTGTTGTCTACTAGGTTCTTACAGGAGTTTTACACATTTTTGCTTGATATGATTTGAATAATTGATATTTATTTATTTATTTATACATACTTTGGATTTATGAATCGCTCAATCCGTTAATACATCAATAAAAGAATGCATAAATACATCATAATTATTACTTAAAATACAATAAATATAACATTACAGACTTAAAATTAATGGTTGAAGAAAGAACGGGATCTTTAATTTATGGATCTTTTCTCCCCTCTTAATCTGTATGGCTAGTTGCGCATTTTATGTGCTTGAAATGTAAAGGAATGATTTTTGATGCTGAAATCATTTAATCATCTACATTGCAAGAATGTATGTGTGTAGTTTCAACTGATGCACCACTTATAGATCGGTTTAAAAGGGTATATACCTGTTGATTTAGAGAAATAAATTGTGCATATTAATTTACTAAATTTCTATATGACATAAAGCAGTTTACAATAAAGCAAACAAATTATCTCTTCCTTCTTCTTGCCTCTAATCCCAACATTAGTTCCTGTGTCTGAGTGAATGTTTTAGCCCTTCCTCCCAGGATGAGAGGTCCGTAATGTCCTAAGAGTCCAAAGAAGGAGGAGCCAGGTGCTGGTAGAATGCCAGTTATCATTGATCATTTTGTAGAAAAAGAGCTGCAGGAGCTCATTAGCATATGCAACGCCCCCTGACATCACCGGAAGTGATGTCAGAAGGGGAAGCAAAAGGGGGGGAGCATCTTCAAAAGCCTCCCCTTTCCTTCCCCAGCCGGGGGGGGGGGGAGCGAAGAGAGAAGGGGTTTAAAGTTTAAACCCCTTCTCACTAGAGTTGGGCTGCAGAAGGAGGAAAGAGGGAAGGAAAGAGAGAGTAGAGAGAAGGAACGAAGGAAGAGGAAGGAAGGAAGGAAGGAAGGAAGGAAGGAGGGCAAAGAGATGGGTGGAAGGCTCTCCCAATCCCGCCTCCGCCACCCCCCGCTGATCCCTCACTTACCCCGGGAGGCAGCGGGGGGCCTCTTCTGGCCTCCCCCGGGCCGCAGCGCTCTGGCGCTGGCTCGGGAGGTGGTAGGGAGTATCTTCTGGCCTTCCCCCGGGCCGCAGCGCTCCAGCACAGGCCCCAGGAAGGCGGCGACGGGCCTCCTCCGGTCTCCCCGGGGCCGCAGCACTCCAGCGCGGGCCCCGGCAAACCAGCAACGGGCCTCCTCCGGCCTCCCCGGGGCCGCAGCACTCCGGTGCTGGCCCAGGGAGGCAGCGACGGGCCTCCTCCAGCTTCCCTGGGGCCGCAGTGCTCTGGTGCGGGCCTGGGGAAGGCGGCGACGGGCCTCCTCCGGCCTCCCTGGGGCTGCAGCGCTCTAGCACTGGCCCGGGGAGGTGGCAGGGAGCATCTTCTGGCCTCCCCCGGGCTGCAGCACCCCGGCGCTGGCCCTGGGAGGTGGTGATGGGCCTCCTCCGGGCTCCCTGGGGCTGAAGTGTTCCTGTGCAGGCCCCGGGAAACCGGCAACAGGCCATAGCGCGGGGAGCTGGGGGCAGGGCTCGCTGCCACCGCCATTTTGCCAGCTCCTGTGCTCCCAGAGTGGTGCTCCGGCACACTCCGGCCCCAAAAGACCCCTGGCAGTTATATATGTTGATATCCCTGTTTTTGTGGCAAAGTTGTCTTTACTAATATTACAGCTACTATAATGTTTAAATGTTTTACTGCCAAGTCTCATTAACACTAAACAGAACTAGTACTGTTTCTTTGTTAGGTTTATTTATATGGCAGTTTCATTCCTCATGCTCTTGGCCATCTGTAAGCATGGCAAATGAAAAAAGGAAATATACATCTCCAAACGTGCATTGGGCACGGTGCTCAGAGAGTTTTGTACTATCAGGGCTTCTCAGTGGATACCCACTATGCATGCCCTCTCCTGGGTTGCCACCAATGTTCCCTCTAAGCTGTGGAGTCTTGAGAGCAAAAATTCTACTTTGTGAGCTACTGGCATTAAAGTTGTGAGGGAGGAATTTGGCTGCTGCATCAATTAGTTTGCTCTGTAGCCATCCTCCCTGAGCTACGACAAAAATGTGTGAGCTGGAAGCTGAAAAACTGTGAGCTAGCTCACACTAACTCAGCTTAGAGGGAACACTGGTTGCCACCCACCTAATCTTAGCAGGGGCACCTGAAGCAAGGCCTCTGATGATGACTGTGGTGGTCAGGCAGGTTCATAATGGTCTACTGAAGATGCATATTTTCCTTTAACAGCAGAAACATGTTGATATTTGTGTAATAGTACCCAAACAGTTTAAAGCATCTCTCAGTGACTTTCGTTCTGAATCTATATTTTGGCGATGTTTTCCCTAATAATTTTTAAATTTCCTAATTTATTTTTTACAAATATATTTAGTGACGGTGAGGTTGAATTTAAGTGATAGCTTCTGCCACAGCTGATATAGTGCTATATCATGCAGTTCTCATTTTTAAAAAAAACTGTACCAGCTGTGCTTATCTGATAAATCCCACTCACTGTTTGAAGTAGCAGCAAGTCATCACAGTCTTCATGTGGGTTATGGGACTTGGGAGTCCTGGAAACACTCTTATGTACAGGGCTGCCTCAGCTTACAATTTCTCATTTCTGAGTCCATCTGTTGTAACAGTAGTAAAGAAAGACAAGGCAAATAATCAGCTTAATGCACATAAACTAGACAAGCAAAACTCATTGTTTCTGAGGTGCTTGTGAGGAGTACATGTATAATTTTTGAATGTAAAGTGTATAATTCAGTCCTGATGTGGCACACCCAACTTTAATGTCAATATCTTGATCTTGGATTGTGGTATCCTGGAACCCTTGTAAACACACATGGGGTCAAGGCAGGCTTTTGATTTTTAACTGAACACTTACATACAGATTTCTTTATCTTCAAGACAGCCACTTGTTACACTGTCTTCTATATATTTCACATGAAGCTGTCTTATAGTTACTATTGGCATATCAAGTCAGTTACTCCCTCTAAGCTGTGGAGTCTTGTGCACTACTGGCATTAAAGTTGTGAGCAAGCAATTTGGCTGCTGCATAAATTAGTTTGCTCTGGAGCCATCCTTCCTGAACTATGATGAAAACGTGTGCGCTAGAGGCTAAAAAACTGTGAGCTAGCTCACACTAACTGTGCTTAGAGGTTCTCCAGCGTTTCAAATAGACATTTTTCATATCACCTACTTGCTTGATCCTTTTTTTCCTTAACGTGATGAAGGCAGGGATTGAACCCTGGTCCTTCTCCATGCAAAACATGTGCTCAACCAATGAGGCAGTCTTTTCCCAGGGCCTCTCATCTTGCATCTTTCCTGGCTGTCTTGCAAGGGCTAAACTAAGTTTCATTCTTGAAATGCAAAATAATAACTCTGATTTTCATGTATTGCATTATCTGTCTTCATTTCTCTCTTGCCACCTTGTCTAAAAATGGGTACTGGGGTCAAACTATTTTATTTTTTTGTTTGTTTATTTGATTTTACTTTTAAGCCACCCTCCCCTGAAAAATAGGGCTCAGGGCAGCGTACAACAGTAATAAAAATCTACAAATATTTCAAAGTTAAAATGGTACATAAAATACATTTAACAGTAACCTAAGCCAGTTTGATGGTGATGATTCCAAGAAAGTGCTGTTGCTTCGTAGAGGAGGGAGGTGGAGGAAGAGGAGTGCCACACTACATGGGAAGCTGTCTCTGTCCTCAGCCAAAAACCTGACGGAACATCTCTGCCTTACATGCCCTGTGGAACAGCAACAAGTCCTACAGGGCAGAGATGTTGTTTGGCAGAGAGTTCCTCCAGGTAGGGTCCAGGGCAGAAAAACACTTGACCTTGGTTGAGGACAGCTGGATGTCTCTGGGGCTGGGGACCACCAGTAAGTTCTTATCTCCTGAGTGTAAGGCTCTTCTGGGGGTATACCAGGAGAGGTGGTCCTGAAGGTACATGGCACGGGTCCCAGGCTGTTAAGGGCCTTAAAGGTTAATACCATAACCTTGAATCTGATCCAGTGCTCTACTGGAAGCCAGTGTAGCTCGTGCAGCCC